ATCCCAAAGGGATTTATTTACAATTTATACTGCAAGTGGAACAGGGTGCTGTTTGTTTGGCAAATGTACTCTGGCTGAGGCATTTTCATTGAGAACTCATCAGTGAGCAGTTACCCCAAAGTTTTGCTTAAATTCAAGTAAGGCAAGTCCATTCTGATTGGTCAAGATGTGTCATGGGAAATGGGCCAGAGACCTGAAAGTTTTTGATTTAATTTAAAAAATGTGCAATGCCTAGGCAAATATCTTTGCCTGCAGAGGACCAACGCCTGCGCAGAAATATACATGGCTTCTAGCAAACATTAGAGTCCCATTTTAAGCCCAACTAATGGTCATTCTCCACTGTATGTTAAAAATCTCCAAAATCATAAATGAGCCTAAGACTGTTACTTTTAGTCCTGAAAACTGCCTACTCTACCTCAAATTATCATGGAAAGTTAGAGTACCACAGTGTTACGCAAAATGGCATATTCCTTCAGCAGGAAACAACAGATGCAGTACTGACCGCCCTGTGCTTGCAAAACTCAATATAGTTTCCAACATCAACGTGATACTTCAAAAGGAGCAATATTTACTGTACAATCCTCAGTGTGAAAAGAATTACACTAACAACCAATTTAAGATTATCACTGCAACTCACAATGTGGTTCACTTACACTTGCTGGAAGCTGCATATATATTTGATTCCCTGCAAGCAACATTAACTTGTACAGACACTGCACCTATTCAATTAAACAAGAGTTCTGGGGGACACTGTTCCCTGGTGTACTTCTTATGGCATTGCCTTGATCAGTCAGTCTACCTGTGAACCAATCAGCACTCTGTTTATACCGCATGAGAAACATTGTTCCCTTTGAAATTTGGGAATATTCTTACATCTGAACTGACCAAGTCTAAGATGGAAACTTTCAAGATCATGTCTTTTCGTTCAGCAACACTCAGTGCGTACTCCAAAGTCATGAGTCATATCCCAATCCAGGCATCCAAGGATCTAGGCCAAGACTTGCAGTCAGCCACTGAAGCAAGGACATATGAGAGAGAGATAGAGAGACAGACAGAAACATAGATAGAGTGCAAAAATGGTCGGGGAGAGAAAAGCACCTCAACTTTGACAACAAGTTACAGTGCCATGAGAACGGAACAAAGGGAAAAACACGAACGTTTGACAGAAAATAGCCATGTTTTTCATCAGTTTTAATGTTTTTTCAGCAAGAAATTAGGGAGAATGCCTGCATTTTCATTTAAAATCTTCTGCCTTAACAGCAAAGACATTTGGGAAATTGCTATGCCTGCACTACACACTGCCTCAAGCTGAGAAAGCCACAACAATACCAATAGACACCACACATTAGCCATGGCTCAACGGGTAATACCTTCCCCTATGGGCAAGAAGATTCTGTGTTCAAATCCCACTACTGAGATTTCTGCAAGGTTAACTGAGGAGTACTACAACAACAAAGGTACCTTCCAATGAAACATTAAACGAAGACTTCATCTATTCTCCCAGGTGAATGTAAAATCTCCCATGGCACTATTCTGAGGATGTGGAGGTGCTGGCGTTGGACTGAGGTAGACAAGGTCAGGCGACACCAGGTTATAATCATCGAATCATAGAATCCCTACAGTGTGGAAACAGGCCCTTCGTCCCAACAAGTCCACACCGAACCACAAAGCATCCCACCCAGACCCATCCCCCTAAAACCCACCTAAGCTACACATCCCTGAACACTACGGGCAATTTAACATGGCCAATCCACCTAACCTGCACATCTTTGGACTGTGGGAGGAAACCGGAGCACCCGGAGGAAACCCACACAGAAACGGGGAGAATGTGCAAACTCCAGGCTCAGTGGTTAGCACTGCTGCCTCACAGCACCAGGGACCCAGGTTCAATTCCAACCTCGGGCAACTGTCTGTGCGGAGTTTGCACATTCTCCCCGTGTCTGCGTGGGTTTCCTCCGGATGCTCCGGTTTCCTCCCACAGTCCAAAGATGTGCAAGCTAGGTGGATTGGCCATGTTAAATTGTCCATTGGGTTCAGGGATGTGTAGCTTAGGTGGGTTATAAGGGGATGGGTCTGGGTGGGATGCACCAAGGGTCAGTGTGGACTTGTTGGGCCAAAGGGCCAGTTTCCACACTGTAGGGATTCTATACTCCACATAGACAGTCACCCAAGGGTGGAATTGAACCCGGGTCCCTGGTGCTATTAGGCAGCAGTGCTAACCACTGAGCCACCATGCCACTCCGAATCTAACAGGTTTATTTGAAATCACAAGTTTTTGGAGTGTTGCTCCAAAAATCTCCCAGGGTACTATTCTGATGATGTGAAGGTGTCAGTATTGGATTGGGGTGGACAATGTCAGAAGTCAGGAGACACCAGGTTATAAGATTTGGACCCAAAACTTTGACATTCCTCCTCCTCAGCGTGCTGTCTTTTTCCAGCTTCGCATCTATTGATTCTATAATCCCAACTTTTCCCTGTTATTCCCAATTTCCTGACCAATGTGTATCCCTTAACCAACACAACAAAAATTGATAATCTGGCTATTATCACACTGCTGTTTGTGGAATTTGCCATGTACAAATTGGCCACCATACTACTGACGTAACAGCAGTGACTGCATAGCAAAAAAAAACCTGATTGGCTATAAAACAAAGTGTAGAGCTGGATGAACACAGCAGGCCAAGCAGCATCAGAGGAGCAGGAAAGCTGACGTTTCGGGTCTAGGCCT